TAGAAGACAAATGATCACTTTTTTTTTTTTTTTTTCCTGTAGTTAGTGTAAAGATAGTTGTATAGAACTTTTGCTTGCATTGATTGGGCTTCCAAGATGCATTCAAGTTTACTATTTTCTGTTTAGTATATTACTAGTTTGAAAGTTCTTTTTGGAAACCTACTTGATTTCAGTGCTTGGCAGTTCATGGAAAACTAACTTAATGTTAACTTATTAATCGGGGTTCTGTCTGCTAAAACTTATGTGACTTTCTTGATTAACACTTCTTTTGAAACACTTTTCTTCTTTCTCTTTCAGTCTTGGTCTTTGTAATGGGAAAAGAAGGGGTCCATGGAGGCGGATTGAATAAGAAGGCATACTCAATGGCAAAATACTTGAGAGACTCTGGGTTCTAGCTGCTAGGCAGACTGTTAAGTATTAGGGGAAAATTGCTCTTAAACTTTCCTAGCTGTAAGCTTAAGTCTTAATTCTGGAAATTTTATTAGCAATGCAGGGTGATGGGGTATGAACCTGTGTCTCCTTTGTATCCCTCTGTTGGTGGGGAAAGGTGTCTTTCTTTCTGCCCTCCCCCCCCAAATAATTCTGTTCACTTTTGTTTTGTTTCCTTGTGTACTCCAGCATTGGTTATAGTCATGGGAAAGGAAGGTGTCCACGGAGGCACACTTAACAAGAAAGCATATGAACTCGCTTTATACCTGAGGAGGTCTGATGTGTAAGCAGCCTCTCCCCATCTACCTAGCAACTGTCTTCATCAACAACCCTAATTATGGTCACAATGCTACCAAACTATAGATGGTAGCTAATTTTTCTTTACCTATTTTCTAATGTCATGATTCCTGTTTGCCCAATGGATCATTTGTATGTTAACCACTGTATGTAACCAACCCTTATCTGGCAACATAATTGCAGCACAATAATGATTTGCATGATACCTTGAAATTGGGGGGAGGGGGCATGCCAAGTTGGGCATCACTTTGTCTTAGCAATTAATGGGATATTGATTACTAAAATAAGTTAATATTAAGCAAGGTGCCGGTTGTACAATCTCTGATTAATGTCTTTTCAGCACTTTGAGCATTTACTTGGCTCATTTAGTCTTCCTTTTGTAGCGCATGGTTGGGAGGAAAAAGTGCATGCATCTTTCCTTCACTCTTCTCTTTTTCCCGCCCCACCTCCCTTCGCACATAGGCATTTGGTTTGCTTCCATCTTTTTTTATGCAGTGCCTGTTTTTTTTTAACCAATTAATATCCCTTTTGTTGATGAGCTATTGAGAGCTGCAGTAGTTTGCTTTTAGTATTGTTGTTGCACTTGAGACAAACCTTTATTCATAGTGTCTACAGGACATATGAAGAGTGCAATGGCAAAACAAGAGCAAAAAGCACTTCCTCCCATGACCTTACAGTAACCATACTGATTGACTCCCCAGGGACATTCCATCATTGCAATAGCTCACATTTTTATTCCTGTCTTTTTCTTTGCACACCAGCTCTACTCTTTAGTAAAATTGTAAAAGGCTGCCATTATGGACATTAGGTATCCCAACATATAACCATCTGGAGTGTGTCCAGTTTGTTCTTCATAGGACCAATTTTTATTTGCAGCTTGAGTTTTTATATGAAGTTGCATTATTGTGGACTTGGCTGTCTTGTGATGAATTTTTTTCATATGTATTCTGTGCCATACTATTGTTAAAATGAACCGTTGCTATTGTGAGATGGATTTTAACCGACCTATTAAGGGTTTCTTTCGAATGGCACTACTTTAGGGACATTCTAGTATTTGCTTCTATTGTTTGGGCCTTGTGGATAATGTACAGATTTAAAAACAAATCTTGTTGCTGATTTGTCCATTTCTTTCCCTGCACTTTGTTACATCTGGGATACAGTCTAACTCATCTGATTTAATATGCATTTAAAAAAATGCCATAACTATTAAACACCTTGTTTACAGACAGATGAAATAAATTTATTCCAACCAAATACTCTAGGCTCCTGTTGTTTATATAAATTGTTGGCTTACTGTTAAAAGCTGATTTTTGACAAAGTGGGAATACACAGAATAGGCCAAAGTCTGCTGCAAGCATAAAATTTTTTTTTTTTTTTTTTGAGACGGAGTCTCACTCTGTCGCCCAGGCTGGAATGCAGTGGCACAATTTCGGCTTACTGCAAGCTCCGTCTCCCGGGTTCATGCCATTCTCCTGCCTCAGCCTCCCGAGTAGCTGGGACTACAGGCCACACCGTCACGCCGGCTAATTTTTTGTATTTTTAGTAGAGACGGGGTTTCACCATGTTAGCCAGGATGGTCTCGAATCCTGACCTCGTGATCTGCCCGCCTCAGCCTCCCAAAGGGCTGGGATTACAGGCGTGAGCCACTGCGCCCGGCCGCAAGCATAAAACTTTAACATTCAGGTGATGGCCTACTTCAAGTAATATTACAGATAAAATTAGTGCCTGGGAATTTCTTTTTAATGGGCTTTGATCTGTTACACATAGTTTTGAGTCATTTCAGGCTCATCTTCAGGTGTATGTGAGAAGCAACTGACATCTGCTAGAAAATGAGTATTTTCCTTTTCTTGCTGGTTTCTAGATGTGAAATCTAATAAACAGCAAAGGGAGTACCAAGAAGGGTTTCTGCACTATTGTGGATTTTTCTGTGTTGAAATGTCGTATGACTTTAGATTTGGAGGCTGTGTTGGCAGGCTGAAGTCAGCCAACTGGGGCCCTCCTACGTAAGAGCAAAAGACATTCCTTAGGCAGCATATAAGGTAATTGGGATGCTTTTGCACTTCTTGGCTTTGTAGTGACATGTTGACCATGGCTATGTAATAGATTTAATCCCAGAGGCCATAAAATCCCTGATATGTATTGAAGTTTGGTAAATATGTAAATTTAGGGCTATTTAGATAAATCATTATTACCAACAACTCAAGCAGATGCTTAGAGCCAGGGGTGCTCAAAAGTTAGTGGGTTTCAGTAAAACTGGGGAGCTGGTTATAAGGCAGATTATGGACTCTGGGGTTCCATCCTGGAGATGGAGAGTCCATAAGCCCAGGAATCCCTTTTCAGAAACAATCACTGGGTCAGCCTGATTCATTTTAAGTGGTGTTTATGCTACCTTTTGAGAAACAATGGGTTAGGGAATAGGAATTAATCTGCCTTATACTATGCATAATGAAAGTTTTCTTTGGTTGTCAGGCATTGGTTGTGAATATGGTTGTACATACACAGGGATGTAAAAGTATGGAAGATAAAGGATCTGGGGCTATTTTGGTAGTTGGACATAACCTAGAAATTGTAAAACTATAATAAAAACCTGGTATCAGTTTCTTGACCTGTTAAGGCCAAAAGATTGGGCAAATGAAAATTTGGTGGTTGAGTTGTGATGATTTGAGATTTTACAATAATACACATTCACACTTCACTTGTAAAGAACTATTAGGGTAACCAATTATAGAAAGCAGTGACCAAAATTCTGAAACTGTTAATGAATTAATCTGTAAGTAGGTGAGGGGGCAGTGTGTATGTGTGTGTGTTCAGAGAGGAGGTTGGGGGTAGAAGGTGGTAAAGGGTGACTGTATCACTAAAATAGTATATAATGAAACTATTCATTGGCCCTCCACCCACAATTTCATTAGAAAAATACTTAGGGAAATATATACAGGTATACTTTGCTTTGTACTTAGTTCTAGGAATTTCGCATATGGAAATGAAGCTATACAAATTTGTATACCAGAATGTCCATCACACTGCATTACTTAAGCCATCCAAACTTGGAAAACATCTACAAGGTTCAGCTTTTTAAGGGGTATGGTTAGAATAAATGATTTTAAGTCCATAGGACAAAATAGTCATTGAAGAATGACATGAGAATGCTTACCAATGAATGTTAATGAGAATATAAACATGTTACATGACAGTGCACATACAGTATTAATATACATGTATTTTACATATGTATTTCTGAAGGCAGTATAGTTTCCAGGTGACTATATTTTGATTTCTAGTGTTTTAATGTTACTTTTGTAATCAAGAAAATTTTAAATGTTTTTTAAATAGAAATTGGATTTTAATTGCACCTACTGTCCTATTCAAAAAGCTATACCATGAAATTACAGAACATTTCAAGTGAACATTAACAGAACCTAGTAACAGTCCTAGCCAGTGCTGCTAAATAAGACACTTCGTAGATTTTTTTTTACATAAAATTAAAGTAATTTGGAATTTCAAAAAAAAAAATTTTTTTTTCCATAAAAACTCCTAACATAAAGGAACTAGGTCCTTGTTCTAAACTTTGGATTAAAGACTAAGGGAATATAACATCTAATACATACTTACCCATTACTGTGACTTTTTTTTTTTTTCCCTTTTCCTATTTTAAAATACTATTTTAGGTTTGATGTTTTTATTTAATAATTATTTTGAAGACTATTACTTATTGCACATCTATGCGCCAGATACTGAGCCCAACGTTTTGTCCTCACACCCTCACTTAGGTTAAATGAAAATTATGCAAATGACCAAGCAGGTTTAAAAAGGTTAGGGCCATACAATTATGTCCAGTTCCAAACTTTGCTTAACTACCGTGGTAACCTTTGATGTCCTGTTTCTCAGGCCTGTGGTTCTTTAATTTTTTATAAAAAAGGGGAAGAGGGATGAGGTATCAGATAGCGGATGTTGAATTCAACCGTTTATTTTCCAAAGTAGAAATACCTATTTTTTCCTGATTATGAACATTTTTTAAAAGGCAATTCGGAAAGTGAAATTTTCCCTCGATATACCATAATTTACAACAGGGTACCAAAATGTACACTGTTTATTTTTGGAATAATTTTGGCAGCAGTCTAAACTTTTTGGGAGATTACCTAACTGCATGTGAATGGTCAGTTACTTTGTATAAAATTCTAAGGTGATGTGATTTCTCTGACATCAATCATTATCCCTTTATAGGATATATATAAATAAGACTAATATGGTAAGTAAATGGTAGAACAGACATTTACTGGATCTTAAAGTGGAAAACATGTTTATTAACATTCAAACTCCCCTCATACAAGGCCATATAAAAATCCTTAGCATTTTGATTATACATTAGTCTACATTTTCTACATAGTTACAATGATGTATATAATTTAGCTTTTCATAATACAGTGTTTCAATACATCATTAGTTCTGTTAAACATAAGTCACTTACTTTCAAATCCAATACTTGAACAATTTCCTCTGTACATAGTTTAGCAGGGCTAATTAGCATAAGATGCTATTTATTAAGAGGTATATGATCTGAGTATTAACAGTTGCTGAAGTTTGGTATTTTTATGCAGCATTTTCTTTTTGCTTTGATAACACCACAAAACCCTTAAGGACACTGAAAATTAATAAGTAAAGTTCAGAAACATTAGCTGCTGAATCAAATCTCTACATAACACTATAGTAATTAAAACATTAAAAAAAAAAAAAGTGTTGAAATCTGCACTAGTATAGACCGCTCCTGTCAGGATAAGACTGCTTTGGAACAGAAAGGGAAAATACAGCTTTGAGTTTCTTTGTGCTGATAGGGGGAGGAAAGGCTGAGTTACCTTGTTGCCTCTCCCTAATGATTTGGCAGGTCAGGTAAATGCCAGAACATACTCCAACTCAACAATTCTAGGTAACTTTATGGAGGTGGAAGCTGGGTTAGTTCATGCTAGGTGGCTGTCGCACTGACCTCATGTATAAAACACAAAACATTTAAATACTGTGATCTAGGTCTTAATTGCAAGCTATACTGAGGATTTTTTTTTTTTTAATGTTTTGCCTATACTTTAATTCCAAAAGAAGAGCTGAATTGATGCTTGAGTTACAGCACCAGTCTATTATTAGTGAATGAAGTACACTCTTGCAGATAAATACCAGATCAAAAGTCCTGTTTCAGTAATTTGATTAAACTGTAGAATACTAAAAATAAGTTATTTCTACAGAAATCTTTGAAGGGAGCAAAAAATCAAATTACAGTATATTACCTAAACATTTTAAAGGGAAATAAACCATCTTCTGAAAGTCAAACAGTATTTGCTATGTTGTAATCCCGTTCACCATTAGGCTGCAGCTGGACCACGACATCATGTTCATTAATTTCATTTTCTGCATCACTACTGTCGGTATCTTCATTGTCATCTTCCTCATAGTCTGAAGATTCTGTCATGTTCTGATGTGAGCGGGATTCCGACAAAGCCCCAAATGACTGGGCACTGACAGAAGCTAAAGGTCTAAGTAAAGGGGTATGTTCTGTCACTTCATTTTCTTCTTGACTACTATCTGTGTCAGAGTCTGAATCACCTTGAGAAGGAACAACTTTTTGCTTGCACACTGGACAGGTTTTTTTGGTTTTAGTTAGCCAAGGGTCTACACACTTGCAGTGATAAGCTGTTGAAGCAAAATATACATCTTTAGTATGCTGTGGTTGATACTTTTATATTTAATCTCTTGCCATATTCAGTGTTCTGTATGTATCATGTAGGGACGGGAAGAAAGTTTATAAATTTTTTTTTTGAGACAGAGTCTGGCTCTGTCGCCCAGGCTGGAGTGCAGTGGTGCGATCTCCGTTCACTGCAAGCTCCGCCTCCCAGGTTCATGCCATTCTCCTGCCTCAGCCTCCCGAGTAGCTGGGACTACAGGTGCCCGCCACCTCGCCCAGCTAATTTTTTGTATTTTTAGTAGAGACGGGGTTTCACTGATAGCCAGGATGGTCTCGATCTCCTGACCTTGTGATCCGCCTGCCTCGGCCTCCCAAAGTGCTGGGATTATGGGCGTAAGCCACTGTACCTGGCCTGAAAGTTTATATATTTTTATAAATACACCTCCATCCTTGAATGAGACCACTAATTAGTACAGGGCCTGGCTTACGGTGTGCCAGTAACTATTTTCCGTCTCTTCCCCTGGAATATGGAACCTAAATATAAATTACTACATGTAAATTCAAATCAGTATGTAATTACTCATACCATGGGAACAGGGAAGGATTCTGAGTTTGTCTCCATCTTCATACTCATCCAAACAAATGGCACATACATCATACTCATCTCCTGAAAACAGAAAATACGTAGAGAACTATTTTTTCGCCTTTCAAACTTTTCAAGTTAGTCCTCAGTCAGTTACTGCCTTTTGATGTATTTATCTTTGAATGATGCCTTTTGCATCAGACTCAAGGATCTGCTTATCCAAGTTGTAGGACCTGAAGTTTCAATTTAAGTAATTCACATTTTACCTAAACTAGATAGTTTAAAATGGATGACAAATTTGTTTACATTGATTATCTTTGCAAAATATTTTAATAAGAATCATAATTACATCAGTGTTTTACCTAACCAAATGCTAGTTTTGAAATATTTAATGCCAGAAAAATTTCACTACTAAAATTTTCAAACTCAGTCTTAAATAAAAATGGAAACATGAGAACATACTCAAATGTTTAACTATATTAGCAAATAAAAACAGATTCGAAATGAGTCACACTGGGCTTCAAATCTCCAGCATTTACCACGTTCTGCGGTGCTTGGCAAGTTGCTTAGCCTTTGCCATCCAGTTCTTTATCAGTAAAAAGATTAACTTACCTTACAGGTTATAAGGATGAAATGAGATGATACGAGCAAAGGGCCAGACACATAGGTATTCAATAAAGGGTATACTATTAATATTGCCATTTTAATTGTCTTACTGTAGAATTTATCAGTTTTATAATCATAGAAATTTATTAATTCATAGCTCTTTTTGGAGTTTCAGTGTAGTTTTCTAAGTCTTTAAAGGAGCTAGCAGTTTTTTAAATACAGCAGCTTTTTCAGTTAATAGTGGCTTAGACACCACTGTGAGTGCTTGAAAGCACTTTTGTGAGTTTTTTTCCACTACATGCATATGTTGGATAAAAACTTATAAAACTTTTAGGGAACAAAAGACAGTTAAATTCATTGCCTATCCCACATGGAGGGGTAACAACCTTGGAAGACATATCATTATCTGGATGGATAGTCTGGATGAACATGACACATAAAAAAGGTGCTGATAGTTCTTCTGAAACAATCACTTTAATGTCCTAGTCATTTAAAACAGCACATTCAGGAGGAGCCCAAAATAGAAAGCTTTAATGAAAATTAATTTTTGTCCATTACCTTGAATTTGGTTACTATAGTATTTAAATTACATTCTGTAACAAAGGCATGTATACATATGTTAGAACCTTGTGTGTGGAATTTGGTGAGACTTACTAGACTCAACTATTACAAGACTAAAGGACCTCTGATATAGCTGTAATTATTATTTTTATTTATAATTACATAAATCCATTTACATGGACTTTGGGGACAATTATGCAATTCAGTCATGACTGATTTCTCATACAAATCAAACTTTGAGTCACATCACCTTGTGAAAACGCCTACTAAAAACAAAACAGTTAATGTAGCTGAACAGGAACTGACTGTGGCTCAAAGCTGTGCCAAGGCTCCAAGGCTCATTTTATTGAGGTAGGGAGATCAGCCTGTATTATCCATGTGAGCTCAATGTGATCACAAGGGTTTTGAAAAGTGGAAGAAGGAGGCAGGAAAGTTCAGAGTCGGGGCGATGTGGCTACAGATGAATGGTCAGGGAGATGCAGCTACTGGCTTTGAAGATAGGGGGAAGAAGGGTCACAAGTCAAGGAATGTGAGTGCCCTCCAGAAGCTAGAAAAGGTAAGAAAATGGATTCTTCCCTGGATGCTCCAGAAAGGAACACAGTCCTGCTGACACCTTGGTTTTGGCCCCGTGAGACCTGTGTCAAACTTATAAGCTATAGATAATATATTTTTGTTGTTTTAGGGCACTAAGCTTGTGATGATTTGTTATCAAAGAAATAGGAAACTAATACAGGTATATTTGTCTGGGTTATCTTTAAATGTATGGACTTGATGCTTTGGAGTCACTGAGCTTTCTTATCAATCCTTTGAATTGTTCCAAGTAGTAGATTTATATTAATATCCCATGTTTTGTTGCCATAGCACTTACTTTGAAGATGACAGGTCAAGATGCCAAGGTACAGTTTGTGATCATGGACCAAACTGGAGCTTAGTGCTCTGTAGAAAATTAACCTTTATGGCCTTGGACTTGTGATGACATGGTAAAGCACCTATTAGAATGCCTGGGGTTCCCATCCTGGTCCTTTTATTTATTAGCTATGTAACCTTCTGTAAAACACTTATCTTTATGTTTCAGTTTTCTCAAAGGCAAAACACAAATATTAACATAATTATGTATTAGGGTTGTTGTGAAGATTAAAAGAGATAATGCAGGTAGAGTAATTTACATGGTGTTTCACACATACAATAACTCTTAACCAGTTTTTGCCTAGTGAAACTAGCTGATAGGCATACTTGCTTATCACATGGTAGAAGACTGTCGCCAGGAGGCTATTCTCTAACCAACCTTATGCTTTTGTCTCACCAGATGATCAGCTGCATGCTTACCAAAGGCTAGTGGCAGTGGTCATTGAATCTGTTTTGTTTTACTTAGGGTAATTATGTAATTTAGTTAAATATTCAGCAGTCAATAAACTGTGAGTGTAAAAGACTTCTGGTTTTATTTGAAAGCTAGGTTGAATGCATTAGAAACACTTAAAAAAAAAAAAGCTAGTTGTTCCCCTAAACCCATCGCCAGCCAAAAAGCAGTTAAACTGGGTATGGGTAAGAAAACTAAAAGACTGGACAAATGTAAAAAGCAAGGATGAAAGCAGAATCCAGTTTTACCCCATTTTAAAATACTTGAAACTAAAAATGGTAGAAAATGCTTCATGTACCATGGCAATTTGGAAATCCAGCCAGTGGATTCATACTCAAAAGGCTGTGGTCCAACATCAATTGTTGATTGGATTTATAATTACATTTAAAATAGAAATTAAAGGCATTTATCTATTTTTATGATGTATAAGATTTTAAACATTACCTACTGGCTCTGGTAGTATAAGATAAAAGGGCTATAACAAGTGCTTAATAAGTGTTAGTTTTGTTACTATTAGCACCATGCTAGAAAATTCTGTTGCTTAGTTTGGTTCTAAACTGGGGATGATTTTGCTCCCCAAGGACATTTGGTGTTATCTGGAGACATTTTCGGCTTTCATAACTGAGAGTTGCGGCTGGGATCTTGTGGACCAGGGATGGTGCTAAACATCCTATAATGTACTGAACAGCCCCCTAAACCAAAGTATCCCATCTAAATGTCAGTGGTGCTGAGGTGAGAAACCCTCATAGAAACCCCTGCAGGCTAACAAAACTTTGCTAATTCACTATTGGATAAGATGTCAAAAGTTGTGGAAGAAATCAGATTCATGTCTGTTACATGAAACAATAGAGGACCACTTTTGTCTGGAATGTTTTTGGCACTGCTGTAGAATAAAGTTTCAGAAAAATTTCATGAAGGTACTTTTAAAGTAAATCTCATCAGTCTGGGAATGTTAAAACATGTAGCCAGACAGAACTTAGATTGTCTCCTCTCTAAACTTGTTCATCCATGATTTTTCCCCATTTCAAGCCCAAAACTTTGGCTCATCAGATACAGAAAAGCACTGGCCCTTCATAACAAGACTCACACAAAGACCCAGGCAGCCAAGGCAGTGGCATGAACTGAGTGTCAGACCTAGGCATATCTTTGATGCTGCTTTTCCTCAGAGCCTTCGTACAATCTGTCACCAGATCCTGGAACCTTTTATTTGCAAAACATATTCTGAATCTTTCCCCTTCTCTCCATCGCCTTGATTACTCTGGTCTAATCTTCTAGATTATGCTAAGAGCCTCCTCTCTGGTCTCCCATCTATTCCTGCCCCATGTAGTTTTCAGCAGCTACAGTGATCTTTTAAAAATGAAATATCACATCATGTCATTGTAATTTAAATGGCTTCCCTGAGAATAAAATTTGACCTCCTTATCATGGCCTTCATATAGCTATATATGATCTGATCCCCCTACCCCGCCATCCTGTCTCATCTCATACTAGTCCACCCTTCATTCATGCTGCATCCTTGTGGCCTTCTTTCAGTCTTTGAATAAATACGAAAGTAAGTTAGATGGGGACCTGAATTTGGCCAGGCTGTACCAAAAACATTTGGACATAAAATTAGATTTAGAAAGAGGAATTACCATTTCTAAACAAGGCTTAAAACTGAGCTAGTTAAAATAGTCACAGTGGAGACAAATTGATGTAGAATTGTTCAATACTATACCAAACTAGTCTAGGTATCAAGTAAACCAAGAATAGGTTTCCTCGAAATAAAAGATAAAAGAGATTGAAGATTCAGGGTTAAATACATATAGATGTCACTAGTGATACTGACTTTACATATGTATTATAAATAATCTGCCTAGGGATGATGCATCATTAGAGTCATGAGTTGCCACTTACACGCTGCTTCTGCCAGTGAAGAAAACAATAGCAGCTTTTTTTTCTTAGTATTGATTTCTTTTTAATTGCCCTGTAGTCCAAGAGTGTGTTTGATATGAATAGCAGCTTTTTTTCTAGCAAATAAGAAATAAATGAATCTTATTTTTTATTCTTCTTTTCCCTATACCAGTTCCCAAGAAATCAACAAAATACAACAGGATGAAATATTTTAAAAGCCAAATTTGCCTGAGAACTCTTTCTGATTATTTCCAAACCCTGGGCAAAGGAACTAGTATTTATTATTATGGTTAGATTAAAAGCTATTAAAATGTAGTTATAAAAAAAGAAGTCTTTAATAGCTAAAGTAAAAAATTATAAAAATTAACTATTGCTCCATTTTTATGCAATCTACTAAAATGCTGTGTTGCTTTTTTCCAGTCTCTGAAATAAAAATCTTTCCCCTCCTGTACATATTATCTTCAAAAATCTCAATGATTAAGCCATAAAGGAAAAATGCCTGGTAACTTAAAATGTCAGATATGAAATCCACTTTTATCATTTATGTTTCAGGGATCTGGCTGCTTTAACATACTAATGGGACAAGGGAGACAGCTCCCAGAGAGCTGCTTAGTAGAGGGATGTTAAGTGAAAACATAAGGATTTTCCATCTGTTAGGAAACAGTGTGTGGTATCTAGTTCTTATGGTTAGA